CCAAAGAACACTTTTTATAGCCAGACAGTGTAATTACATGATTATTTTGCGTACTTCAGTATGGATTTGTTGACATGGTATTTCCGGTGTTTCGTGCTCACGGTAATGTCTTTCCATGGGGAAAAAAACTCATAATTCGTGTATAATGCGCACCGCCTTCTACACAGCTGTGTTTTTTCGAAAAAAAGTGCACACTATACTCAAGAAAATACGGTACTGCTACAGCAGACGATGGGTTTGAGCCAATCATTTTACTGATAGAGGTCACATGACTAAAATCTTGACTACTTCCGGTGCTGTGAAGGGTTATTTTTCCTAATTAAAACTAACAAACCAATACATATTTGAGATTTAAGTTCTGATTTATTTAAGCGCAAATGTCTGTTCAGTGTGATAACACTGACAAACTATGTCCAGACAGCTTAAGACAGAAAGAACCAAATGTCAAACACCACAACCTGTAAACCATCAGTTTAGACCCCTGACACACAAATTAGACCCTCAATGACATATCAGTCAACACAAATTTAAACAAACGGTGTAAAACTGCCCTAAAGTAACATATCTGTCATTAGAATGTGATGCTATCAGTAAGGTGCCAGATTTATTTATGTTTCACGCCACTCTGTGTGGGACTTCTTGGTCACTTCGAGGGGGAAACTGGGGACTGTCTTTTATCCAATTAAAAACATGTTTACAGTTCTAGCTCCTCCTATTTTAAGTTGGATATAGGAAGCTCAGTGATCAGTGATTGCAGGAAACATAGGAATTGGCCCCTCCTCCCCCCTCAAAATAGATGGAACCCATATTTTTGTGAATGATTTCTACCCTGTGAGAGAATATTTTGAGGTCACGTGACTTCAATAAACATGTTCTCACAACTTCTACAGTGCATGGATGGGTTAGATTTTGGTAGTATTTTGATAAATTGACACATGTGGAAATGGGAAATATATGAAAACATTACATGTTCAAATAGGATTTGTAATAAAAGGTTTATATGAGGTAGGTGTAGAGCCCAGGATTTTTCACTTCCTGTGACAGGGGTTGTGACGTCACTATGGGGATTTTAGCATTGAATCTATTTATAGCCTGTGTGAAAGCGAGGCTTGGTTCTCATCTATAAGCGGTAACATAGGCTGAGCTCGCACACTGTTTTGGGCACGATCGTTCAGCCATTGCGTCTATCTATGTAGCCCAGCTATATCTATAGGGAACAATTCACAAGACATTTCCCTCTCAAAAATAAGGTTGTCCAATTTATAATTTAATCAAGATGCAAGCGCACGTTTGACTATCCAGAAATGATGTCATGATAAGCTATCTTATATTGCAAAACAGAGGTCTTTCGAACATCCGTGTGGGTATTGGGACCAAAAAAGTAAAAAAGGCGTGAACTTATCGCAGCTCACCGGCAATGTTTTATCCAGGCTTTTGGCGTGACAAGTGAACACTTTAACCACAAGGCTTAAACACCAGCCCCTTTCAATGCAGGACATTTACAGGAGTTGATCGACCCGTGAAGATCCGGGTTAGAACAGGTTTCCAGCAACCAATGCTTGCCGTAAGGGGCGAATAACGGGATTGGGTGGTCACGCTCGCTGACTTGGTTGATGCATGTCGTCGATCCCAATTGCGTGGATCGATGTTCATGATGTCAATCACTGGATTGTCTGGTCCAGACTTGATTATTTACAGACCGCTGTCATATAGCTGGAATATTGCTGAGTGCGGCGTAAAACAACAAACCAACCAACCAACATTAAGTCCAACTGCTACAACAAAAATTTGAATTTTTTTCAAGCAGCTTGGTTGCCTCTTATGACCAGTATATTTATAGGTGGGGACCAAACTCAGAATCCCCATGGGGCTGACTTGCATTAGAAACTAGCACAAGACCCACATTCCCCCAAGCCTCTCAAAGTTCTCAATGGTTAAGCTGTCCATAGGAATGTCCGGTATTACAATAATCCTCTTTTCCATGTATATCATCATAAAGACAAGTGACTAAATAAATTCCACCACTCCTGTTTCCAAGGATTCTCAAATAACCACTACTAATCTCAAAGCTGTACAAAACGTTGGCATTTCTGACATGAAAAGTTGACATTTTCTAAACTATTTTCTGTAACTAGATCACGCTGCAAGAAACACATTACACACTTCAGGCACGCAGTAATTCAATATTGTCAAATATAACATATCTCGTCTTTCCCAAACCAATCTCAAATCCATACCCACACAAAGTTATTTTTATAAATACCATAACAGCATGCTTCCTATCAATTCCTTGTTCGAAGAACATCATCAAAGGTCTTAATCTGGTTACGACTAAAAGCAACTGTCAGGAAAGAGCATAAATAATCTCAAATAAAGCACGCACATATAGACACATTAGTCAAATTATACACCCACTTGAAAAAGCAGAGCTGGTATATTTCTAGCTTTGCATAAAGAGAATAAATGGAAGTTAAAGGGTTAGTATGGGTCATTTACTGAGAAGAGATTGTAAGTGTGGCACTATGTGCTACTGTGTTACCATTAGGACAGTGGTACGGAAGCCTTTCAGGGCCATTTGCTTTTATTTTTTATTTTTTTCGTGAAATGTCAAGATACTAAGTTGAAATTTCAAGATATTAAGTTGAAATTTCAAGATATGATCTTGAAATTTCAAGATACTAAGTTGAAATTTCTAGATACTCAGTCAAAATTTCAAGATACATACTAAGTTGAAATTTCAAGATCATAACTTTTGCCTTAGTATCTTGAAATTTGAACTTAGTATCTTGAAATTTCAAGAAAAAAACCAAAAAGACAAATGGCCCTAAAAGGCTTCTGTACAATGGCGCTGTCAACCAATGCGGCAATACTGTGCAAGCTACGGTGGCTAAAATTGAACTAAATAAAAGCCCTTCAGTTCTTCCTTGTCTAGCATCACAGGGCAGACAAGGTTACGCTAAACTTGTGTTTGCAAACATTTTGGCAGAGAGTATTTTGTGGTTTCTTTGTCTGACTTGTTAGTTTCGTGAAAATCTAATGTTGCCATTTGGCTTCTTGGTAATGATTATGCTATATTTGAGTTGGCTGTTAAGCGATAATCAATAGTATACAATGTTTCTGCATCATATTATACTTGCAGATAGATTTACCATTACATTTACTGTTGAAGGTTCAATCTTTCATCTTGGATAAATATTTTATCATTTTGCATGACAGCTTCTCTCTAAAATCTTTACATGATACATTTCTTTATACATAGGTCGATATGAGCAGTATTTTCATTTTATTTTTCCAGTTTTGTTTGTTGAATTAAGCCTCCGATCCGGTTTAGAATAGGTCTTCAGCAACCCATGCCTGCCGTAAAAGGCGACTATGCTTGTCGTAAGAGGCGACTAACGGGATTGGGTGGTCAGGCTCGCTGACTTGGTTGATGCATGTCATCACATCCCAATTGCGTGTATCGATGTTCATGATGTCAATCACTGGATTGTCTGGTCCAGACTTGATTGTTTACAGACCTTTGTCATTTTGCTTGAATATTGCTGAGTGCGGCATTAAACAACAAACAAACAAACTAATTCAACAAACAAATATAAAATAAGATGAAACACTACTTATTTTGACCAAAGAAAAGTATATCTATTGATCTTTTTTAAATCTGCTTGTGTTGGTTACTTCCTACAGTGGTACAAATACATTACAACCATCACAGTGACCTGGAAAGTTACAACGCTTGCCCTACTTAACAACCATTTTAAGTATTCCATTTCTTACATAAAACCATTTCACATGTCAACATGGTCAAAGTCAGTGGAAATGACTAAATTTAAACTTTCATTCAAATAAGGAAATTTTTTTGGATCATGTTATATACTGAACCACAAAAGAAACATCATTTCATAAAAATAATTTATGAAAGTTTCCAATTGAAATATCAATGCTTGTTTGGAGGTATCTTGTTTTTGACATTAGTCTGTACCCAAATTTAATTTTAACGGCCAAAAAGGGACATGATTTAAGGATATAACAGGTCTCCAAAACGCAACTTACACACGTCCATGGTACAAAGTCTCAAATGTGCTTTCTGTGAAAATCAAAATTCACTTGCGTTTCCTTGTGCAGTTTCTGTTAAACGGCACCCCAATACGTGGATTAAGCATTCTTGTATCGATATTTCAATAGGAAACTTTCATGAGTGATTTTCATGAAGTGATGTTTCTTTTGCAGTTCAGTATATATTTATTTGCAAAGTACAGATGTGTATATCCAAAAAACATTTAATTGTTAACTGTTAATGTCCAATAATTATTTAGGAGTAAATTTCATATTGACAAAATACACAGTTTATCTTGCCAAAGTATTCTTCTTTGTTTGTTGTTGGTTTGTGTTGATGAATGAAGCAAAATTCCAGCCATATGACAGCAGCCTTTAAATAATAGAGTCTGGACAAGACAATCCAGTGATTGATATTGTGAGCAACGATCCACAATTCTAATCCGGAATCCCCATGGGGTCCAAAGTATTGCTAACTTACTTGGAGTTTTTAGGCATACTTGTTTCAGGGTCTGGACGACAGACTAAGTACCTTGCGAAATTCTAATCCAACCTAATAATCATAAACCCTCCGTATTGATTTTTACTTAAGCATGATCAATGCATATTAAACAGTAAAAAACAGTAGCTATAATTAGTTCTATCCTGATGGGCAAGCTGCTTTGAATTAATTCAATATTCTATTTCTGTCCATTGTCTCAGCAGTATTGAACAGGATATTGAAAAGATGAGAATCACTTTGTCAGCAGCCATTCTGGAAACAATATATCTGTTGGTTAATGTCCTGGCTAAATAAGGCTGCTCAACAATCAATACTACTGTCTATTTCTACTGTTTGTAAACTCAGAAGAAAGCGTCTGTGTCTGCCGAATGGCGACAATTACTGCACGATATTGCCACATAAGATGACAATTACTCAGCCATGCAAAGGAAAGTCCTGTAGATACCTTCACTGTTGACCGAGTCTGTCTCTTCTGTGGCTTCTGCAAAGAGCAAATTAGTCACATGACCTACACACAAACGACCAAGGTGCGACAACCACTGTGCGTGGGACCCAGACACCAGTACTTAAAAAGGCTGTTCTGAACATCTGACTGCCTTTTTTTCTTTTATATTTTGGCATGCCCAAGGGATGCAACTCTGCACAGTGAATTGTGGCACCTTTGACACGTAATCCCCGAACATTGACTACCCCTAGAAGAATGAAATTGTGGTCCTAAAAAACATGGCCAGTTCTGGTATGAACATATTGATGTCAGATGATTATGATGATGAAACGACAATCATAAGCAATCTTCTGTGCTACAACCATATTTCATCCTAATACATTTCTTGACCTCGAGATCTTAAATTCATATGAGCAATATGAGCACAATGAGGTTTGATACCTAATTTTCACAGTCAATGTGATTTAGTCATTCAATATAAGTCCTCTTTTTCAAATGTAAATTAAAGATGTGTGGGTCCTTGAGCCAATCAGATGGCAGCTTTCTAAAACAACTTGGCTTCATTTCATTTTCCACTTTTATTCAGAAATTACAATTCCTCAAAAGAAACGTTGCAGAACACAAGTTCTATATGCTCCACAGTACCATCCATTTGGACGCAGATGCCATGGTGCTCAGAAACAACAGGATAGTCATAAAATATCCCCAACAGTAGCCCAGCTTTATTTTTTGCCATTCAGAATTCCCCAATCATGTTTGTTTTTGAGATACAGAAATCAGATATGCTTGTCTTGATGTTTTCGCGCAGTTGTAATAAGAACATAAAAGCTTGAAGCTGATGGATCCGAAAGTTCATCTGATGTAAGCACTCAAAATCCATGGCACTGGGTTAGGTTGACACACAATCAGCCAGGTCACACATTGCAACAAAGCAGGCCTCATTATTCAGTGTAAGAGGCGACTAATGGGATCGGGTGGTCCTGCTCGCTGACTTGGTTGATGCATGTCATCGATCCCAATTGCGCGGATCGAAACTCATGATATTAATTACTGGATTGTCAGGTCCAGACTCGATTATTTACAGACCGCCGTCATATAGCTGGAATATTGCTGAGTGCGGCGTTAAACAACAAACCAACCAATCAACCAATCATTATTAAGTTCTTCGTTTATTCATATTTATTTTCAGAAGAACCTGGATTGGTAAACATGCAAAACAAGGTTATATCAATACTGAGCCAGACACCAAACAATTACAATCTTTGTTACAGGATGCAAATTGACCAAATAACATATACTGCAACATCGGCAGACAATTCATCGCAAAAAAGCTAGTTTGGTACATCTATTTAAGTCTATTGAACCCATAATATATCCTGGCATGCCCACAGGATGCAACTCTGCACAGTGAATTGCGGCATCTTTGACACGTAATCGACGAACATTGACCCCCCCCCCTCCTCTCAAAATAAAACCAACAAAAAACCCAAAACAAAACAAAAAACCCAACCCAAAATCAAATGAAATTGTGGTCGTAGAAGAAAATGGCCAATTCTGGCATGAACATATTGATGTCAGATGATTATAATGATGAAATGACAATCATAAGCAATCTTCTGTGCTACAACCACACCAGTATCTAAGCGGCGGTTCCAGACCAAACTCCCCAAACCTTAACAGTCCCTCTGATGACTCAGACAGGTCCTGATCCTGAAAGTGTTTGCAGTCATTGCGTAACGATACTGTTTATAATAAATAATACAATTAGTCCTAATTCACAAAGTCATCATAGCGCTATGATGATTGTTTGTTTGTTCATTGTTTAACGCCTCACTCAGCAATATTCCAGCTTTATGACGACAGTCTGTAAATAATCAAGTCTGAACCAGACAATCTAGTGATTGACATCATGAGAATCAATCCACGCAATTGGGATACGATGACATGCATCAACCAAGTCAGCGAGTCTGACCACCCGATCCCTTTAGTCGCCTCTTACAACAAGCATAGTTGCCTTTTACAGCAAGTATAGGTTGCTGAAGACCTATTCGACCCCAGGTCTTCACAGGCCCTACAATGATTGTAACCATTATTTAACACAGACTTATGACAGTCATAGCACTAAGGTCAACCTCCGGACCGGGGCCCTGGAGTTACTGCTTATCTCTTCCCACCTAACAGGATAGACAAGACACTGGTCCGTTAGTCCAAGACTAGGGAAAATCTAGGACTAGTTGTTTTCATCCCAAATCAAGTTAGCTCACTTGTCCGAAATGAGCTACAGACTAGTTGGATGTCCAAAGGCGTCTACCCCTGCCCATATAAAGTTGTGTTTCTAAAAACCTCTAGCAAATCTACTGCATGAACAGTGAGAGTGCACAATGCTGGTTAATGATTAATTATGACACTGTGGTATCAAGAATTAAGAGAACCATTATATCCTTTATATAAACAGAAAGTATATTGGTAATGTATTATACTACAATCATAGAGTGGAACTAAGCATGCTAACTAGACTGAGATTATCATCTCTTTCTCTACGAATTGAAACTGGGACACGTGGGAGTAATAGGATTTCCCGAGAGTGTGAGTGAGTGAGTTGTGTTTAACGCCACTTTTAACAGTATTCCAGTTATATCACGGCGTGTCAGCTTAATGTTGGAGGAAAGCCCAAAGTGATGCAGGTCTCAGACGTTTACCACTTCGGTGAAACCCACGAGCATGGGTATGGTGCTGACAAACCTAGAAACATAATCAGGGCGAACCGGGATTCGAACCCACAATTATAGGTTTCTGGCGTGGCCAAGGGATGCAACTCTGTACAGCGAATCGCAGCGCCTTAGACGACTGGGCCACCCATGCCCCCGGATTCCCAGAGAGGAGAGAAAATGTTTAACATTAACGGCGTGGAAGATGAATTTCATTTTGTATTGATTTGTCCTTTCTATAGAAAATTGAGATGTACGTTTAGTAAGAAATAGTATTATGTAAACCCATCAATATTCAAATTTGTTATGTTATTTATATCTGATAATATTGGTTGCCAAAGAAATTTAGCCAAATATGTCTGTGAATATTTTATACTAAGAAACAACAATTAAGTCAAATATTTCTTGCTTAACCTCGCCAAATGATTACATGTTGTAATCATCCTGATGCCAAACATCCCATTTGTCTTGTGTTCATAATGCAGTCGACCGCCTCCGTGGTCTAGAGGTAGAGCATCAGCCCGGAGAGCGGAAGGTCCGGGGTTCGATCCCCGACCGCGTCATACCAAAAGACGTTAAAAGATGGTACTTGTTGTTACCCTGTCTGGCGCTTGGCATTAAGGGGCTAAAACAAGGAATGGTCGGCTCGGAGTCAGTATACTGTGTCTGAGTGGGGTATTCATGTTAAACTGCGGCATGGTACCTCAGTGAGCTAGCACTATAAATCGGCATAAGTCCGGACTAGTACAAGCAGCCACACAACCACACACGTCCATGCACGTCGCTATATAAGTGCAATAATTTTTGACGCAACGTTATACCCCATTTCACTTCATAATGCAGTCAGCAATACTCCAGCTGCATCCCGGTGGCCTGTGATCATTACAATCGGGGCTCACCATATATCACGCAAGTCAAAGGTGTACCAATATGATCTGTACTGAAATGTCACAATAAAGGAACATAAAGGTTGAAACTCTTAAGGCAGTTTCATTATTAATACTGCTGACTATATGCCACTTAAATGATGAAATTATAAATAATTCCTGGATGACAAATAGGCCATGATAAATTCCTTGTTGGAGTTTCATCTGAGCCCACTGGACCACCAAACACCAGTCCACCTCATCCACATCATGCTGATGTCCTAAAGTACCCTCAGAAGAAGAGGTGAGGTGAGGTGAAATTGGATTTAACGTCGCGTCCAATATTATTGCACTTATATAGCGATGTGCATGCACGTGTGTGTGTGGCTGCTTGTACTAGTCCGGACTGATGCCGATTTATAGTGGCAGCTCACTGAGATACCATGCCGCAGTTTAACATGAATACCCCACTCAGACACAGTATACTGACTCCGAGCTGACCAGTCCTTGTTTTAGCCCCTTAATGCCGAGCGCCAGACAGGGTAACAACAAGTACCATCTTTTAACGTCTTTTGGTATGACGCGGTGGGGGATCGAACTCCTGACCTTCCGCTCTCCGGGCGGACGCTCTACCACAAGACCACGGAGGCGGTCCCTCAGAAGAAGAAAATGAGAGAATGCTTTTCCTTTTGTATTGAATGAAACATACTACACGTATCCTACCACACATATATTACTTCACATTTGTTAAGGATCACACATTTGACTAGCCTTGCTCCAAGGCTGCACTGAATGATAAGTCCATGGGTGCACTGTCAATCTATCCTTGTAATAGGCAAGTTTAGATAAGTGAAAAGTATACTAAGGATGCCAGTCTTTTACGGGGACATAATTGTTATTTATATTGTCTAGAAATTAAGACTTAAACTAATAATTACTGCAAAGAGACTTGTGCAAGGCTAACATTTGACAAAAGATGACGATATATCCCATGCAGTGCTTGACAGAAATAGAAAGTACTTTTGAACACACATGAAACGTAGTGGAGCATAACTTAACATCAGTCTTTCCTCAGCCACTATGTTGATGACAACACATCCCCCACACATTTAGTGTGATTGTGTTTGTGGATTTATAATACTTATAATAGGCTTTTTCATATTGCGCATATTTCCACACCACTCAGGGGCGTGCTCAAAGCGCTATTATAATGTACACTCAAAAATCATTCTCAGCTCCTTGGGGAGTATACAATCCAAACTGCCTGTTAGGGGCTAGAAGGTTAACAACCACATTGCCATCTCATCCTACCGGGTACCCATTCACTGCTGGATGAACAGAGGCCCATATTCGAACAAAGTCACTTGCCCAAGGAGACGCTACATGTGCATCAGTGTGGGGTAGGACTGAAGCCCTAGAAACTCTCAGGAGCCAAGCTGCCGAAACGCGGTCACCCATCCAAGGACTCTTACCCATTAATGAGAAACACCCTAACAAATATTCAGTAAAAGACAACAATAGCGCCATTTATTTGGCAAAGCACCAACATGAAGACTGTAAACCCAACAAAATGTCATCACGGTAATTTTCAGATAATGACACCAAACTGGTGATTATCGTCATGAATAGTTATCGCAAGAATGCAGATATTGTTTGTTCAGTAATTATTTCCGTCACATGTGATCTGAACGGAAAGTACTCACGAGGAAATATGACATATCACAAAGCAATGAAATGTATGTCATGTCATGTTGACAAATTCAAAGAGAAAATAGACACCAACTGTCTAAAGAAAAACACAACACTACATGACTAACATCATGAACATGTTTCCACAAGCAGAGCATCAAATATCAACTAGTCTCCTCAGCGCTCATGACAAAAAGAATCACCATGAATCACTATATTTGTTACTAGCAACACCGATTGTTCTTAAAGTTTGTTGGTTTCTTTGTTTTTTTAACTTAGCAACATTCCAGCTACATGTAAATAATTGAGTCTGGACCAGACAATCCAGTGATTGACATGAGCATCGACCTACGCAATTGGGATATGATGACATGCATCAACCAATCAGTGAGCCTGACCACCTGATCCCCTTAGCTGCCTCTTAGGTGAGTTGAGGTGAAATTGGGTTTAACGTCGTGTCCAAGATTATTGCACTTATATAGCGACATGGATGCACGTGTATGTGTGTGTGTGGCTGCTTGTACTAGTCCGGACTGATGCCGATTTATAGTGCTAGCTCACTGAGATACCATGCCGCAGTTTAACATGAATACCCCACTCAGACACAGTATACTGACTCCGAGCCGACCAGTCCTTGTTTTAGCCCCTTAATGCCGAGCGCCAGACAGGGTAACAACAAGTACAATCTTTTAACGTCTTTTTGTATGACGCGGCCCGGGATCGAACCCTGGACCTTCCGCTCTCCGGGCGGACGCTCTACCACAAGACGACGGAGACGGTCTCCGCCTCTTAGACAAGCTTGGATTGCTGAAGATCGATTCTATCACGGATCTTCACGGGTGACCGTTGGCAGTTTGGGTGATAAGATACTTCAGTACATAGGGAGATAGGATTTAATGTGGAAATGACTTCACAACCGTGTTCACTTAAAAGATGATGACAATTCCAAATAGATTTACCGGTTCTACATGCAATGAGGATCCTGCTGCCCAGCAACACAATCGCTGTCACAGATAACGTCACAACACTTTCAGAATATTTGCAATTTTATGATTCAAGTTTCGGATTGAAAATTGATGCATATTAAACTAGATCTCAAAATAATTCATTTTCGAAAAACTGTAGCCTACAAAGCGACCTTAGCGTGTGGTCACTCCCATTTGTTTACTCAGACATAAGATAGTCGTAACACTAAGATTGCTTTGTGAAACAGGGTCCAGGGCCCCGTTCCACAAAGTGATCTTAGCGCTAAGTCGATCGTAACCCCCATTCTTTAACACTGACTTACTACAGTCGTAGCGCTAAGATCGCTTTGTGGAACGGGTCCCTGACCAATAAATCACTACAAACAAACCAGCAAATGAATAGACTTGAGACAACTTACGCCCTATGACCTTGATGACCTTGTTTTTGTAAATAAACCCCTTATAGGCCGTTGTGGACTCAATTACACCAGCATGCATTCTCTACAGCAACAGTTCAAAGACATGTAGTTCAACTGATTTTTTTCAGACTCCCATCTATATTCACAGTCCTTTATGAATCCATTAGCTGAAACTAATCCATTTGCATTTTTTCTATATTCATTCTTTGAATGTGGTTGTTTTAAGCTAAGCTTACAAGATCAAAAGACATTTGCTAGACTCGGGCTTAGGATTAGCTGGAGTTGTAGACTTATGAAGTTTACACTGTTACATCATTCGATAAAATGATTGTGAGTGCAAAATAACTCCACCAACATCCGCTTGGCAAGTGATCTTCTCCAGAATGGACTGAACAGATTACTTGATGACAACTGTAACTGTCTCCCAGGGATTGAAATTGAGGGGGTCCGCGGGTCCGTGAGATTTGCTGCTACAGTATTTGAATTTTGTGATGCTCCAAATTTTTAACTTTTAAGATTGGGCTTGTGGCAAGGACACCTTGCTTTTCACGCTTAATCTAGACCACTGTCTCCCATAAGCAAAGTCTGTGTGTTCTGTTCACAAGATGGTTCATAAAAATACTAAAAGTAGTTCCCTGAGTGAGTGAATATGGTTTTACGCCATTTTTAGCAATATTCCAGCAACATCACGGCGGGGGACACCAGAAATGGGCTTCACACATTGTACCCATGTCGGGAATCGAACCTGGGTCTTCGGAGTGATGAGCGAACGCTTTAACCACTAGGCTACCAGACCGCCCCAGTAGTTCCCTGAAGGAAGCTAGTGTCTTCAAACATTTTATATACCATTTTTCAAACAAGCATGAAATATTCATATCCCCCGCCAATATGACATGTCCGGTTGTGTGCAATGCATTAGCTCCTGTGAACTATGTTCACTGGGCCTTTTTGTAAATGGCCTAATTGCAGCACTAAAAAAGTTATTATTGGTGTTGTTTTGCTATCTGCAGTTTATGATAGAATATGTAACTGTATTTGTAATGATTAAGGATGAGACGTATGGACGAACAACTTCTTTATTACAATTAGGAGCGATGGTTTCGGCGTAGGTTCTAACACCGTTATCAAGTAAGTGAAGTACAGAGTATGGTTGACAAGAATATATACAGGATCGGAGGCAGTGTTTATACAGTTGAGAAGGTTTAAGATCAGTTACACTGATGTATTTGTAATGAGTTGTGTTTCTGCATGAAGTTAGTCAGTGAATGCAACAACCGTGTCCATGACACTTTTGGGGGAACATACACACAAGCGATGCAGGACTTACCAACAAGAAAGGAAATGTATTCAATACTGTGAACTGACATTATGTGCCAAGTTTGGTGAAGAAATATGGTACGGTTTTCAAGATCTGCTCCGGAAACGAGGACTACCGCCATTTTCAGTCTAAGTCAAAGTTGTTGCCATGGAAACTCGAAAAATAATTTTTTTTAAAAATCCCAAACTATCAAAAGGCACCAGCTGACCACTAGACCTATCTATGTGCCAAGTTTGGTGAAGAAAAATGGTACGGTTTTCATGATCTGCTTCGGAAACGAAATGTGACGGACGGACGGCACCCATTCCACTTCGTGGCGGGGGATAATAAAGTATGCAGCTCAGACTGCTACAGAAGAAATATTTTAGAATTGCTTCAATCCCCATCACCCTGTGTCTCAACCTGGGTGTTCAAGAACCAGGGTCCCCATCACCCTTTGTATCAACCCAGGTATTCAACCACTAGGGTCCTCACAATGCGGTGTGTCAACCCGGGTATTCAACCCTTCAACCACTAGGGTCCCCACCACCTTGTGTGTGAAGTGTGTACTTACCTCTGTGTTCACTGCCTGTGGAAGATCTGCGGGAACTGCTTGTAGAGCGACTTTCTCCTGTGCTACCTGAAACAATTTAGTGTATATAAGTTTATTTGGCCTGCCTGAAGCCACACAGTGTATACATAGAGAATACTACACTTAATCTTGGTAGTCTGTGTTGGCTCCTCAGTGACAGCTTCAAACGAAGGTCAAGGTCACCATCATAATAAGAAAAGACAACTGTAATCTACTCACAGTGTTTTACGCTAGAGATCAATAGGAAAGGTTATTGTTCACATTTGGGATGTTTTGGGCCACAAAATCAGAAGTCGGGCCCACTTTGAGTTTTTGAACGATCTGTACGGTAACTGTTCACTTTGTGATATGATCATGCAGTCATTTAAGTTCATTCATAAATTTAAACATATTCGAACACAGTGCCACAAAATACACTTTGAAGGAGACACTGTTGGCCCAAGTGAAGCATCCAACATAAGTCTGGATATCTTTTTTATTTGTTTGTTGTTTAACGCTGCACTCAGCAATATTCAAGCAAAATTACAAAGGTCTGTAAACAATCAAGTCTGGACCAGACAATCCTGTGACTGACATCATGAGCATTGATCCATGCACATGGGATGTGATGACATGCATCAACCAAGACAGCGAGCCTGACCCCCCGATCCCGTTAGTGGCCTCTTACGACAAGCAAAGTCGCTTTTTACGGCAAGCATAGGTTGCTGAAGAACTATTCTACCCCGGATCTTCATGGGTCCTACGACGATTGTCTCCCTAACTCCCATTATTTAACATAGACTTATGACAGTCACAGCATCATAATCAACCAGCGGACTGGGCCCCTGCAGTTACTGCTTATCTGGGATACTGCCTGGGAATTCACGGGTCATCTGGATATCTGTCCAGATAGCTTACCAGATAACTTTTTACATTAAATCAAACTGAAGTCGCGAAAAGTGCATCACGCTCAAAGGGACCCCCTGATCAATCAGTTGTCGTACATTGCTAATGAATAGCTTGATTATATAATGTAGGGGACTATCTCTATGTATACCTAAAATAGAATGCAAAGCAAATTTGATGCATGTGACTATCTTGTTTGGTCGAAACAAATGTTTGTAAATGTCTCGTTTTCATGTGATTACTTCAGTTCTGTCTTGAAGACCCTATTTGTAGAGTGAATAACGTCTCATGATTTTTTAATGAATGAAAAAGTAGTTCTGGTGTGACAGAGGTCATCAATGGTCATGGTTATCCAATCAAAATGAATAAAACAAGGTCGACCTTGTATGACATACGTGTGACATTCAGATTTAGTATCTCACTACCTGTATCATCTAGTTCTAGTTGGGGCGGTTGTTGGGTGTAGATACCGAACACCAAGTAGGACTCAATTTTCGAAATATCCACAACATACACAAATATGTGGCTATTTGTATTCCCCAGCTTCAGCTGTCTGTTGTAGTTTGTATTCGGAGATACAGGAATCAGAAAAGCTGCACTGCATGCTCCACTCCAGAAAATACAGAAGCCTCCACAGGGATTAGCCATGTAGAAGGTACACCTGACAGGACCATTTGTCCCATTTCGATGGTTGGTTGGTTTGTTGTTTAACGCCGCACTCAGCAATATTCCAGCTATATGACGGCGGTCTGTAAATAATCGAGTCTGGGCCAGACAATCTAGTGATTAATATCATAAGCATCAAGCCACGCAAGTGGGATCGATGACATGTATCAACCAAGTCAGCGAGCCTGACCACCTGATCCCGTTACTCGCCTTTTACGACAAGCACAGTTGCCTTTTACGGCAAGTATGGGTTGCTGAAGTCCTATTCTACCCCGGAATCTTCACGGGTCCATTTCGATGGAGTGAGTGAGTTGGGTTTAACGTGGCTTATAATAGTCTTCCAGTAATCAGTGTCAGCTTAATGTGGGATGAAAGCCTGAAGTGATGCACGTCTCACACATTTGCCAGTTTGGTGAAGCCCACAAGAACAGGTATGATGCTAACAAAGCTAGAAACACAATCGGGGTGAACCGGGATTTGAACCATGATCACTGGTTTCTGCCATGCAAGGGATGCAACTCTGCACAGAAAGTTACGGCACTAGACGACTAGATCGCATGTGCCTCTGACTTTGATTGAGAGATCAAATCAATCATAATAATCGGTTTTACATGAGATTGGGCAAATCTCATAATCATTGCTACAAAAAGCACATGCTTCATCTGGGTTGAAAGATTCAGGATAGAATGACTAGGTCAGTATCGGGATAAATTTATAATGCATTAAGCAGGGCATGATACATTTGCAGAATTGTCATTAGATATCTTAGATATCTTAATGTACAAATTAATTAACTACCACAATTAACATGATTAACAAACCATGCTGACACTAGTAGGGCCATCAGAGTAATCAGACAGACAGACACTGATTACTCGAGTTGTGAAACTAGTGTTGAGGGCAGGCGTGGACAATCAATCTCACAGTGTCATGTGCTGGTCAAGGGGAGGCAACTCTTCCCCCTACTCCACCAATGTCAATCTCCAAAATGTCCTACTGTTTAGTGTCTCGAATAATTATCAGTTTCTATACTACATGAACATTTATCAGCAAGGCAATCAAAGAGAGCAGGAGAGAACTGACCACACACATTTTACCAATGTCACTTTGCAGTGTTGTAATAGGTGAGGTGAAATAGGGTTTAACGTCGCGTCGAAGATTATTGCACTTATATAGCGACGTGCATGTACGTGTGTGTGTTTGTGTGGCTGCTTGTACTAGTCGGGACTGATGCCCATTTATAGTGCTAGCCCACTGAGATACCATGCCGCAGTTTAACATGAATACCCTACTCAGACACAGTATACTGACTCCGAACCGACCAGTCCTTGTTTTAGCCTCTTAATGCTGAGCGCCAGGCAGGGTAACAAGTACCATCTTTTAATGTCTTTTGGTATCGAACCCCTGACCTTCCGCTCTCCGGGCGGACACTCTACCACTTGACCAAGGAGGCGGTCGCAGTGTTGTAATAAAATTAACCATTGATGTAACACTAAACCAAATGGAAAATACATCCTTCCACTTCGTGTTGGGAATGAGTGAGTGGGTTTTTATACTGCTTTTGAAATTATACCAGCAATGTAACAATCAGGACCAGCGATGTAGCAACGGGGTCCTGCAATATCCCATCAATGTGACAATGGGGTCCTGCAATATCCCAGCAATGTGACAATGGGGTCCTGCAATATCCCAGCAATGTGACAATGGGGTCCTGCAATATCCCAGCAATGTGACAATGGGATCCTGCAATATCCCAGCAATGTGACAATGGGGTCCTGCAATATCCCAGCAATGTGACAATGGGTCCTGCAATATCCCAGCAATGTGACAATGGGGTCCTGCAATATCCCAGCAATGTGACAATGGGATCCTGCAATATCCCAGCAATGTGACAATGGGGTCCTGCAATATCCCAGCAATGTGACAATTGGGTCCTGCAATATCCCAGCAATGTGACAATGGGATCCTGCAATATCCCAGCAATGTGACAATGGGGTCCTGCAATATCCCAGCAATGTGACAATGGGGTCCTGCAATATCCCAGCAATGTGACAATGGGATCCTGCAATATCCCAGCAATGTGACAATGGGGTCCTGCAATATCCCAGCAATGTGACAATGGGTCCTGCAATATCCCAGCAATGTGACAATGGGGTCCTGCAATATCCCAGCAATGTGACAATGAGATCCTGCAATATCCCAGCAATGTGACAATGGGGTCCTGTAATATCCCAGCAATGTGACAACGGGGTCCTGCAATATCCCAGCAATGTGACCATGGGGTCCTGCAATATCCCAGCAATGTGACAATGGGCCCTGCAATATTCCAGCAATGTGACAATGGGTCCTGCAATATCCCAGCAATGTGACAATGGGGTCCAGCAATATCCCAGCAATGTGACAATGGGGTCCAGCAATGTGACAATGGGGTTCTGCAATATCCCAGCAAGGTGACAATGGGTCCTGCAATATCCCAGCAATGTGACAATGGGTCCTGCAATATCCCAGCAATGTGACAATGGGTCCCGCAATATCCCAGCAAGGTGACAATGGGGTCCTGCAATATCTCAATGGGTCCTGCAATATCCCAGCAATGTGACAATGGGTCCTGCAATACCCCAGCAATGTGACAATGGGGTCCAGCAATGTGACAATGGGGTCCTGCAATATCCCAGCAATGTGACAATGGGGTCCAGTAATGTGACAATGGGGTCCTGCAATATCCCAGATAAGCAGCAACTCCAGGGACCCGGTCCGCTGGTTGATCTGCTATGACTGTCACAAGTCTATGTTAAAAAATGGGAGTTAGGGAGACAATCGTCGTAGGACCTGTGAAGATCCGGGGTAGAATAGGCCTTCAGCAACCCATGCTTGCTGTAAAAGGTGACTATGATTGTCGAAAGAGGCAACTAACAGGATCGGGTGGTCAGACTCGCTGACTTAGTTGATGCATGTCATCGTATCCCAATTGTGTAGATCTTTGCTCAAGATGTGAATCACTGGATTGTCTGGTCCAGACTTTTTACAGACAGCTGGAATATTGCTGAGTGGGGCGTTAAACAACAAACAAAACAACCCCAAAACTATATCCCCCAAAAAATATGACGGGGGGTAAAAATGTGTCAATTTTGTCCTCTATTATTGTGGAAATTTTGCTCATTTCTTTGCAGTCTTAGCGGTTCTTAGTTCTTCCTTATACCGTCTACAAACACAAAGCCTGGGACTGCTTGACTCACCTGAGGACTGAGCAAGGGAGGTAAGCTGAGTGGACTGCTTGATGAGGGAGACACGGTAAAAATAATTCCTCCAAAACACTTCCTCTTTCACACTGAAAAATTACATTTTGAGTTCAAAAATAATTTAATAGTTTCATATAGAATAAAGACCTAGACTAATATATAAGGCTTATGAATGGTATGAAATAATTCACTCACAAAACACCAGAAGACATATTGACATATTATGAAAAATCTTTAAGTGCAGTGGTCTAGGGGAGGTAACTCTTACACATATTTTCACAATGGTTGCAAAAATGGCTAAAATCCATAATTACTACTACAACTACATCTTCTCTTATGAAACTCAGAAACAGCTGTTCTAATCAATTGGCTTTAAACTTCTAATTCTACAAGGTCTGGAAACTTTGTGTAATGACTCACAGTTTTGGCACAAGTTCAAATCTCATTTTCTGCAAGTTTGGATCCTCGTGGAGCGTTGCCATGGCAACTGGCTGGATGGTGTTGAAGTCAAACTGGAACTGTACCCCTGATGGGGGATTGCGTAGGAAGTTCCTTTTGTCCTGGCATCAAAAAATAATTAATCAGAGACAGCAGTTACCACGGTTACAGTGAATAAAACCTAACAGTAATTCACTTATGATCGTATTCAATTGCATTGTTGCTGTGGGTAATCATGGTAATGAAGATGTACATGAAAAGTTCACAAAAATTAATTCCTGACAGTAGACAAGAGACAACATGATTTTGTTTATACTGCTCTACCTACATGTATGACAGACCAACCCTCCATATATGTGACAAGAATATTCTCTGTAATCCAACCAACATAAGAAAACAGTGTTGTAAATCAACTACGGACAAAATGTTTCAGCTGGGTTCGGTCTTACATTGACTGGCGTATGCATGAAGTGTGCTGCAGACTGCACTTGCATCTTGACACCACTGATTACTATACTGGCGTTAACAGGGCTAGCAAGCCAAGGCTAAAAAAATAATAGTCTTGGTTCTAAGGCACCGACCACATCTGATGTGTATGTTAACTTTGTGATGTGTGTGTTAACTTTGTGATGCGTATGTTAACTTTGTGATGTGTGTGTTTGCCACTCGTTTTGTTTATATTACCATTTTAATTCTTATTTAAAAAATCCTTATATATTCCAAGTCCATGGTAGTCAAATACCGTATTCAAGCCTATTAGGAAAACATTTATGTAGCCACTACCCAGGCTCATTGTTCGACTGTTTACTTGGTTGCACAACTGTTTATTTGATTACATACTAATTTGAACAACCGCCCCCCGGAACATCGCCACCCCCACCCCCCCCCACCACCCCCCTAAAAAAAAAAAGACAAAAAAGACACAACCTGCTCTCACTGTATTTTTCAAAGGTCTATGCCTGAGAACCAATTCTTTTAGTTTTTAAACCCAATGTGATCTAAAATGAGTGCTTTTCAGATTTACATTTTTTCCACTTTATATTTGTTAGGGTTATACAAACGTATTGTTATGTGCTTGTGTCCTGTTTGTTTGACCCTGGAGGAGCCTCCTCCATGACTGTGGAAGAGCTGCAACTCACCGCGGACAGCGCCAGGATCTGTTCCTTCATCACTTCCTCCTCGTTGTAGCCGATCCACGGCGGCACAGAGGCATCCTGCTGCTTCGTGATGTCCTTCTTCTCAGCCACAAACTTGTCCTGCTCCTTCACAAAGTCACCGATCATCGTCTGCAGATAAGGGACAGGAAATAATCTTCAAGGTAAGCATTGGGTGGAAACCATCATACAAAGACACAAACCTGAACACAAATCAATGTAATTGTCTCAAGACAACTCCCAAGGTTACTGATTTGGTCTGAAACTTGTCTGCGTCCATGACAAATGAATGAGTAGTTAGTCCGGCTTGATGCCGATGCTAGCCCACTAAGATACCATGTGTATGTTAACTTTGTGATGTGTATATTAACTTACTGATGTGTATGTTAACTTTGTGATGTGTATATTAACTTACTGATGTGTATGTTAACTTTGTGATGTGTATGTTGACTTTGTGATGTGTATATAACTTTGTGATGTGTATATTACTTTGTGATGTGTATGTTAACTTTTTGATGTGTATGTTGACTTTGTGATGTGTATATAACTTTGTGATGTGTATGTTAACCTAATGATGTGTATGTTAACTTTGTGATGTGTATGTTGACTTTGTGATGTGTATATAACTTTGTGATGTGTATATTACTTTGTGATGTGTATGTTAACTTTGTGATGTGTATGTTGACTTTGTGATGTGTATATAACTTTGTGATGTGTATATTACTTTGTGATGTGTATGTTAACTTTGTGATGTGTATGTTGACTTTGTGATGTGTATATAACTTTGTGATGTGTATATTACTTTGTGATGTGTATGTTAACTTTGTGATGTGTATGTTAACTTTGTGATGTGTATATAACTTTGTGATGTGTATATTACTTTGTGATGTGTATGTTAACTTTGTGATGTGTATGTTAACTTTGTGATGTGTATATAACTTTGTGATGTGTTTATTACTTTGTGATGTGTATGTTAACTTTGTGATGTGTATGTTGACTTTGTGATGTGTATGTTGACTTTCTCATGTGTATGTTAACTTAATGATGTGTATGTTAACTTTTTGATGTGCATGTTGACTTTCTCATGTGTATGTTAACTTAATGATGTGTATGTTAACTTTGTGATGTGTATGTTAACTTACTGATGTATGTTACCTTACTGATGTGCATGGTAACTCTGTGATGTGCATGTTAACTCTGTGATGTGTATGTTAACTTTCTGATGTGTATGTTGACTTACTGATGTGTATGTTAACTTACTGATGTGTATGTTAACTTATTGATGTGTATGTTAACTTATTGATGTGTATGTTAACTTACTGATGTGTATGTTAACTTACTGATGTGTACGTTAACTTTGTGATGTGTATGTTGACTTACTGATGTGTATGTTAACTTTGTGATGTGTATGTTAACTTACTGATGTGTATGTTAACTTTGTGATGTGTATGTTAACTTACTGTTGTGTATGTTAACTCTGCGATGTGTATGTTAACTTACTGATGTGTATGTTAACTTACTGATGTGTATGTTAACTTACTGATGTGTACGTTAACTTTGTGATGTGTATGTTAACTTACTGATGTGTATGTTGACTTTGTGATGTGTATGTTAACTCTGTGATGTGTATGTTAACTTACTGATGTGTATTAACTTACTGATGTGTATGTTGACTAACTGATGTGTATGTTAACTTACTGATGTGTATGTTGACTTACTGATGTGTACGTTAATTTTGTGATGTGTATGTTGACTAACTGATGTGTATGTTAACTTACTGATGTGTATGTTGACTTACTGATGTGTATGTTGACTTACTGATGTGTATGTTAACTTTGTGATGTGTACGTTGACTTACTGATGTGTACGTTGACTTACTGATGTGTATGTTGACTTACTGATGTGTATGTTAACTCTGTGATGTGTACATTGACTTACTGATGTGTGTTGACTTACTGATGTGTACGTTGACTTACTGATGTGTATGTTGTCTTACTGATGTGTATGTTAACTTACTGATGTGTATGTTAACTTACTGATGTGTATGTTGACTTACTGATGTGTATGTTAACTTACTGATGTGTATGTTGAATTACTGATGTGTATGTTAACTTACTGATGTGTACATTAACTTTGTGATGTGTATGTTAACTTTGTGATGTGTATGTTAACTTTGTGATGTGTATGTTAACTTACTGATGTGTATGTTGACTTTGTGATGTGTATGTTAACTCTGTGATGTGTATGTTAACTTACTGATGTGTATGTTAACTTACTGATGTGTATGTTGACTTTGTGATGTGTATGTTGACTTACTGATGTGTATTTTAACTTACTGATGTGTACGTTGACTTACTGATGTGTATGTTGACTTACTGATGTGCAGTTGACTTACTGATGGGTACGTTGACTTACTGATGTGTACGTTGACTTACTGATGTGTATGTTAACTCTGTGATGTGTACGTTGACTTACTGATGTGTATGTTGACTTACTGATGTGTACGTTGACTTACTGATGTGTATGTTGACTTACTTATGTGTATGTTAACTCTGTGATATGTATGTTAACTTACTGATGTGTATGTTAACTTACTGATGTGTATGTTGACTTTGTGATGTGTATGTTGACTTACTGATGTGTATGTTAACTTACTGATGTGTACGTTGACTTACTGATGTGTATGTTAACTCTGTGATGTGTATGTTAACTTTGTGATGTGTACATTAACTTACTGATGTGTACATTAACTCACTGATGTGTATGTTAACTTACTGATGTGTATGTTAACTTACTGATGTGTATGTTGAATTACTGATGTGTATGTTAACTTACTGATGTGTACATTAACTTTGTGATGTGTATGTTAACTCTGTGATGTGTATGTTAACTTACTGATGTGTATGTTAACTTACTGATGTGTATGTTGACTTTGTGATGTGTATGTTGACTTACTGATGTGTATGTTAACTTACTGATGTGTACGTTGACTTACTGATGTGTATGTTGACTTACTGATGTGCAGTTGACTTACTGATGGGTACGTTGACTTACTGATGTGTACGTTGACTTACTGATGTGTATGTTAACTCTGTGATGTGTACTTTGACTTACTGATGTGTATGTTGACTTACTGATGTGTACGTTGACTTACTGATGTGTATGTTGACTTACTTATGTGTATGTTAACTTTGTGATGTGTATGTTAACTTACTGATGTGTATGTTGACTTACTGTTGTGTATGTTAACTTACTGTTGTGTATGTTAACTTACTGATGTGTATGTTAACTTTGTGATGTGTATGTTAACTTTTTGATGTGTATTTTAACTTACTGATGTGTATGTTAACTTACTGATGTGCATGTTAACTCTGTGATGTGTGTGTTAACTTACTGATGTGTACGTTAACTTACTGATGTGTATGTTACCTTACTGATGTGCATGTTAACTCTGTGATGTGTATGTTCACTTTCTGATGTGTACGTTAACCTAAGTGCATGGTGACTTACTAATACCTAACAGGCACTTAGGTTGTATACTACAAAGAGATCATAGCATGGATAGGAACAAAACACAAAATAGATACAATATTACTGTTGCTGTTGACACAAGAAGGATTTGTAGTATTATTTTGCAATAAAAAAGGAATTATGACATTCACAAATACAATATAAGTGTGTGAGTTGTTGAATGTTGAATAATAGTACTTGGCTTGACCATACCTTTTCTTCAACTGTTGTTTTGAGTTGTTTGGCTGTATCTGCCACTGTCTTTCCCGCAGCCTTGCCGAAGCTGAACAGGAAGCCTGTCAAACAAACAGTCAGTGAGTGAGTCAGTATGGTTTTACCCTGCTTTTAGCAATATTCCACCAGAATATGGGCTTCACACAATGTACCCATGTCAGGATAAAAAACAAGAAGCCAAGCAGGACATAATTCAGGCAGTGGATAACCACTGATAACGATAAAGACAAAAACCTTTTTGGAGCTGTGCTCAACTGGTCTTGTAGGTCCTATCATGAACAGAACAAAGTCAGATAGAAACTGCCTCCTACGTAAATTTAGTGGTTATCTGTCATATCCCTAGTCCATACATAACAAAACACAGGCAAGTGTAACGTTACTTTCCAGTTGCACAATGGCTCAATTCCCTTGACAAAAATTGTCGACATGTATAAGACCTAAATATTCTCTTACGACTTGCCGGCTATAAATGAGGATGTTCCATGGACAACACAAAGACATATTACAGCAATTATTTGTTTGTTTGTTTGTTGTTTAACACAGCACTCAGCAATATTCCAGCTATATGACGGCGGTCGGTAAATAATGAATCTGGACCAGACAATCCAGTGATTGACATCATGAGCATCGATCCACGCAATTGGGATCAAGGACATGCATCAACCAAGTCAGCGAGCCTGACCACCTGATCCTGATAGTAGCCTCTTATGACAAGCATGTCGCCTTTTACGGCAAGCATGGGTTGCTGAAGACTTATTCTACCCCAGATCTACAGGGGTCTTGTAGCAATTATGAATTATATGTTTATACTCTGTTCACATCAGAATGGAACACTAATGTCCTTCAATGTCAAGGAAATAAAAGTGTTTCTTAAATTGTTTTCAGACCTTAAAACCAGTGACTATCAAGTGCATTATGCACATGATGTATTGTGCCAGAATTCAAATGTTTATTGTTTGACAGGCCTCAGGCCCACATACATTGAGTGCATACAGTATAGGATCCTTTTACAAAAGAAAATATGTTTCATGTAATGACATTCCTGCTCTTCAAGGCATACTTGAACATTTCTTAAATATAACTTGACAGAGTTTAAACCTTGATCACCTGAGGTTACCATAAATCAAGTAAATTGTTAGACTGACGGTCAAAGTACATATATATTTGGTATGTATTGCTTTTAAATGTATTTAAAAAGCTGATGCATCGGTGGATCGATATATTCCACTTCCTGATGCAAGTATCAATCACAGTTGCACACTCAGTAAAAAGTATCGATCCTAACCTTGTATTCTTAAATAAATGTTACAACAAACACTAATTAGTAGTGAAAATTAGTAGTGAAAAAGTAAATATTTTCATCCATTGCACCATACTTGACACTACCAACTGTAAATCATCAGTGGGCCAGGTATTTGAATATCCTGTCTTTGAAGCATATGGGTTACGCACTACAGATACGAGCACATACAAGTATTGTGATATGTATCGATCATGAGCAAGGTATCGTGAAATGGATCAGATCGCACTGTTGGTGTATCGTCCCAGCCCTAATGGATACAAGCGTTGCTTGAAGTAGGAACTACTTTCTAGTTGACCTCAGGAGGTCACTTGATTATGTCTATAAATAGATCGGTGTCAGCGATTCCACGATATATACAACCTGTGCAGTGTTCCCGTTGGGTTTTGAAACTGCCTAACTGTTGGACTGGCAACTCTAAAAATTAGCAGTCCCCTCTAATTTTTGTAAGTCCCAACTTTCAACAAATAAATGCAAAGACGTCATCTCTGAAGTAACTCAGTTAGATCTACACGTCATTCACACAAAGTTCAGTCACAATTTTCTCGTTTTTTTCCAGTATTTCGAGACTAATTCACCACAAAGCGAACCGAATATTATTTCCTTGCACAAAAAATAGAAAACAGGAAGCCCTGATGGTAACAGACAAGCTGACTTTGTACGAAAAATATACTTAACCGAATATCACCAATGTTTTGTAAACAACAAAGATTTATAAGGTACTTTATTTGCCGGTCCACAGGGACTGGCAGTCACATGAATTACCGGTCCAAGCCTAATTTAACCGGTAAAAAACTGGTAATTACTGTTAAATGGGAACACTGAACCTGGGACTGTAATACTTTAATAAAAGCATAAGAAATAGCACAACAATAATCCTAAAATGGCAACATGATACAGGATAATATAGGATGATACTTGACATGCTAGAAGCAGCACTGAATGCACAATTCATGCATAGATCAAGCACAGATATGTCACGGTGCAGCTTTTCTGCCCGTTAGTGTTTACTGTTCTTCAGGACCGATCCTAATCGACAGTAATCTTTAACTTCCCAAGTTGATCCAGTCCATTCCCATTTCAAGTCAGTTCAGTTAGACTTGTGGTCATGTGACTATTGATTAACTGATTGAGTGAACACTGAGAAGGAACAATGTTGTGTCTGCACCCTGGACATCGCCTCAGCAGTTATATACTGCAAGCAACTATTGATCCCACTGTTCACACATACAGCTGTCTTATCCACTGACGTAGATTTTACAGGGTTATTATTTACGAAGTTCTAAGATTTCATTCACTGAACATTTTCTGAAGCCTGGAGTTTATCAATTTTTCATTTTTAGCAATATTCCAGCAATATCACGAAGGGGGACACCAGAAATGGGTTTCTCACATTGTACCCATGTCAGGAATCGAACCCGGGTCTTCGGGGTGACGAGTGAACGCTTTAACCACTAGGCTATACCCTACCACCCCCACTGAACGATGGGAAATCTTCCTTTCTGTTAATCATCTAATCCTCAATTGTCCAGTGCCACCATACCTTTGTTTAGGGATTGACACCATCTTTTCGTTTCTCTTGCACTTAAGTGTAATTTGATTGGATGTCTATTTTTAGCGCTGTGTCATTCCAATAGCACACACAACAAAGCCATGGTAGAGTGTGGGTCGTCATAATACACTGGATAATCAAGTAGGATGTTTCACAGCATCAGTGAGACTTCATTCTAACTAGAGAACCAGAGATCCTAATACCATTTGAATCTCGTTTTACTTTTGCTCGTTTTCATGAGAAAAGAGAAACATTTATCTGAATATGATTAAGAAAACTGACACTTGTTAGAAAATATTAAAAAAAACAACAAATAAGCACTTTGCTTAAATACAACCTTAGAAAAGATATACTGGCGGTGTCACATGACTTTCTCTCATAAACAAAAGTCCAAAAACACGATGATGCACAATAAGCTCTGTCATTGCTTACCATCTGTCTGTCATTTCTTCCCAAAAATACAATTCTAAAAACATAAGTTAGCTATTTTTCCAAACCTGTATATGTTACAAAATCCATAGTAGGTATAAAGTGTTAAGGATAAGGATGTTTAAAACAAATTTGGGGGATACTGGTTTACGTCTGTTGGCAGACGACAAATAGATAAAAACATTTCGTATTCATTTCAATGATTAAATAACTGAGTGCGATACCAGGGATAACAAAAACTGTAATTTGTATAACTAAAGCATTGAATGTGATCACATGCTGTTTAAATGATAGCAATAACTGGTACAGTTAGTCGACGGGAAAGTTCTATTCCCGTCGTTTTGATTTCCTCTACTTGCATCATAACAGAAATCTACTCAAACTTTTTTCCACGGACAGAAATAGCGTATTTATGTTCATAGTTTCACAAAAATCAAAGTTCTAGCAACAGTCAACTTTATACACAGAATTTTTCAGAAATAACACGAACACGATGGCGTGAAGTGGTCGCTAGCCAGTTAACATTTCAGTATTAATTTTTCAGGTTCTAACTGGGTTTGGTTTGTTGTTTAACGCCGCACTCAGCAATATTCCAGCTATATGCAGCATTCTGTAAATAATTGAGCCTGGACCAGACAATCCAGTGATTGATATCATGAGCATCGATCCAAGCAAATGGGATCGATGACATGCATCAACCAAGTCAGCGAGCGTGACCACCCGATCCCGTTAGTTGCCTTTTACGACAAGCATGGGTTGCTGAAGACCTATTCTACCCCGGAATCTTCACGGGTCTGGTTCTAACTGGTTCTAACTGGGACTAAACCTTGTGAGAATGACTGAATGACTGAGGTAACCTGTAAATAAACAGTCAGGACAAGAAAATCAAGCGATATTGTGAGAAACATGCCACTCCGTCATGGTACACTGTCAACCAAGTCATGTGACCACCTGATCATCTATACAAACCCAGACGCCCAATGGGAGAAACACACCAAGACCATATGAGAGTCACAGGCATCTTGTGAGACTGACATAAAGTAATAATAACATCCGAATCTGTCATCAGACACCAAGTCTCCCATCCTCATCTTCCCATGTTAATGAATCATGATACTGGATCCATGCACATCCATCCTCAACAATTTTTATAAATATTTAATAATATTTATCTGGCTACTTGCAAATATACTTTGGCAACCATTTTCACATAATATTGCTATGTTTACTGCAAATATCCCCTAACCAAGAACACTTTGAAATACAAAGTGCAAACCGTTTAAAGAACAGAATGGTATTTAACACTTTGTACATTAGACATGTCACATATGTATAACAGCATAGGTAAAATATTACGATATAAAACATAATACAGAATTGAGACTAGGGCTGTTACGATTCACTCGCGTATTCGGTGAATCGAAACCGTATCCATTCATGAATTGAATTCGTTATTCGTGGCCACTAGAATCAAATATTTATGTATATGCAAGCATGTGCATTTACATAAAAATATCCATAAGAACATATTACATGCATAGATTTCTTCAAAAGGAAACACTCTTATACTATTTAATTTGACAGTATTGTGGTCACTGGTCATTGTCACATTTGAGCAGATACTAGAACCTGTGTAAGTGCATTATATAAATGTATAATATATTATAATGTATTAACAAACCATGTCAAATAATTTATGTTGTTATTGCTCCACTGAATATAACAAATATTTCATCAGCTTCTGACTTGTTATTTTATTCGTGAATTAATATTCGTATTCG